ACAGAACTTGGTTAAAAGACACCACCCTCATTTTATTTTTTCTCAACAATAAATATAGCACAAGATGAGCCGACAAAATTTTTTCAGCCCACACCCAAAGGCTGGTTTTTTTTAACCTCTTTTCCTTTTATATAAAGGGGGGGGGGGGGGGGGGGGGGTGATCCCAGGCTAGTTTTCTTATTTTTCGTACAAATTGAATTAGAATTAAAATATATTAAGGTTAATGATGTCCCTGTTCTTGTATCGGTTCTCATTATCATTCACATTACTGTTCCTGTTCCTGTTCCTGTGCCGTCCTGTTCCGTCTCCGGTTCCCGATTCCGGTTTCCGGTTTTTCCAGAACTCACTGAAGCGTAGCTTAAAACGGTCTTCTTAAAAGTTGCTTTTCTTTATATCCATCAGGCTCCTGTATCCATAAAGAAATCGTAGTGTACTTGTATTTTATTTGTTACTTTATTTTGTCAAAATGTCAACATGATCACAATTTCCTCGGCACTAACTGATCAAAACAAGAATTTTCAGGCTGAATTTTACTTTTTTCAGTTTATTTCCCTATTTTAAGCAGAAAGCAGTGGCGGATCCAGACCTTCAGAAAAGAGGGGGGCCGGTCACCCAGACCCTGAGATAAGGGGGGCCCGGTGGGCCCGGCCTTAAAAAAATCTTTTTCGGCCCGGTCCCCCCGGACCCCTCCCCTGGATCCGTCACTGGTAAGGATCTCATGCTATTTGTTTTCGCCACGAATTAGGTTCGGCACAGGTAAAGTTCTACAGTCTGCAGAATCAACAGTCGAACGTAACAGACGTCTTAATAGTTTGGGACCACCTACGTAGGTTGAATATCGACTCTTTAAATTAAATGCGACCTTCGCTGTATCTGCGACTGAAACAGTCGAAGATTCGAATTAGGTTCATCCTCGGAGACCCAGGGGCAGTTAGTTGGGTCGATAAAAGTTGATCTTACAGTAAACTTTCACCACGAACATTTTATCGACCCGACTAACTGCCCCTGAGTCTCCGAGGATGAATTAGGTTCGACTTTTGATTCAAACGTCGCATTTTACAGGTGCCGAACTTAATGCATGAATTATAGTAAATTATTATTATTCATTTAGAGAGACTGGCATGGGAATTTTGACAGTAAGAGACGTTTGTATCAAATGCCGTATTTAACTATCAGTCGACTAAAATAGGAATTAAATTCGGCACATGTGAAATTCGACGTTTGAACCTTAGCTTTTTTGTCTAAACTCAAACGAAGTCTAAGCTAACTATGGTGTCAAGACAAGGAGATACTCACACTCCATTGCTTTCTACATAATGTCCTTTATTAGCTGAACAAGTATCTTTATCCTAGTACAAATCATAATCTACTTTCACTTAGTATCAGTACATTTGTGCTGTATTACCTTTGGAATATGACTTAGTTTCACTGACGTTGGTGATAGTACATAATCGTTGCTATGTTAATCAATAGACCTTGTCACGGTTTTCGACGCCATCTTGACGAGTAGGCAAACGCGTGAGAAATTACAGTGTTTGTATGAGAATCTAATGTCGAATAGTTTCCTTAAAACGGCTCTTCTGAAAAAAACATGATTTGTAAACTAAAGCTTCACTCCTAAATTAAGGGCGTTAAATGCACTAGAACACCTAGAACCACGTTTTTAAATTTTCTATACATTTGTCTGTAAGAAAGTCCCGGGAAAATTACAGACAAATATATGGAAAATCTAAAGCAAGCCTCTGGAGAAATTTACGCACAGGTACGCCCCCAAAATTGTTTAGGACAATCCTTTGCTTTGTAGCTTTAGTTTACAAGTTAAGTTTTCAGAACAGCCGTCACGCGTTTGCCTACTCGTCAATGAATTTGAGTTCGCCGTTGACTGTTCCATATAGTATGGAACAGTCAACGGGCGAACTCAAATTCATTCAAAATCGCTCAAAAAACCGCTTTTGAGGCAAAAGGACGACTATACACCACAGGCAAGGTAATTCAACGTTTATTTATCATTGATTTATATACATAGTTAGCGATATATCGCTATATGTGAAGCAAACGGTAAATCCAGTACATTTACTATAAAATAACAATCGGCTACACAAACAGATTGTGTGGGCGCCCTGTGCTTATTTCATACTGAGAGGTCGTGACACGCATATTAATTTTCTGTGGTTATTGTTTATGGTCAGCATGATTTGGCCTCTGATGCAAGAGCATTTTCTTTGACCTCTTTTGAAAAGTAAAGTTCTTCAATGCGGCTAAATAAGGGTTTGGGGTTGTTTAATTTCTCCGGCGATTGCCTCCTGGATCTGAATAATTTTAAGCGATTTTCTTTTTGGCCGTGAATGTGACGGTTTTCTGCAATGTTTTGTCACGCTGGGCCCAGCTCGTTAACGTTTTTAGCAGGACGGATAGTGATATCCAAATCTCAAAGAATGGATTGCAGCATAAATTAAAACTACATTAACTATAGAAGACTGCGATGTGACTCAGTCATGACTGTTCATGAATTTTAACTGCCGCTTGTTTTTCTGGAGATAATGTGAGTCTTTGGACTGGAGCACGCAGTTCCCACTTCGTGATCAGGTAAGACCATGGTTTCGGTTGAACTTTGAACTTTATTTTTATTTAGACACGGTAAATCTATCAGATAAAATAATAATAATAAAAAAATTACAATCTACTTTAATCTATATAAACATGATCTAAAAATTTAAATAGTAAAGATAGAGAAAATAAAGAAATTCTGCTTTACATAGATGCCGTGCGCGTTTTATCGATTCAGTCAAAGAAATCGCGACAACCATTTCGAAAAGATTTAAGTGATTTTGCTTGCCGCAATTCAGGGGACAAGCTGTTCCAGATACCCGCACCATTATAGCTAAAGCTATTTTTCAAGAAATTGGTGCGGGGCAATGGAACAGCTAGTTTGTTTTCAGAGTTCCTTAAATTATAAGGTGGATTATATTTAGTGAAAAGAGAACCAAGATAGTCGGGCGCAAGACCATGTATAGATTTATAGACCATGGTGGCCACTTGTATTTGTCGCTGAGTATCCAACCGTTTCCAGTTGAGTTGCTCAAGAAGAGGATCAGCGCTTGTGTCATAACTGGAGAAGGTTAGAATACGGGCAGCCCGGTTTTGCAACTTTTGGAGCTTATTCGAAAGACTTTTGTTACAATGCCCCCAGACCTCGCTGCAGTAATTAAAGTACGGTTGAACTAAGGCATTGAAAACGGACTCCAATGTGGTTCGATTAACAAAAGGCCTACAACGTTTAATTACTCCAATGCCCGATGCGATTTTCTTGGCTATTTTTTCAATGTGCATATTCCATGAAAGGTTTTCGTCTATATGCACACCCAGAGATTTAACCGAGTAAGCTTGTTTAATTATGTCACCACCTATGATTAGTTTAGGGGAAGTATCGTAAGTACCTAACCTTTGCCGCGATCCAATTAACATGAACTCAGTTTTAGATGAATTGAGAGTCAATTTGTTTGCAGTGAGCCATGTATTAACATTGGATAGGTCGTGATTCATAACATCATTGATCGTTTCTATGTTGTTACTGGCAAAGGTCAGGTGAGTATCGTCGGCATACATACGTGCAACTGAATTAGACAGGCAATTAGGAAGATCATTTATGTATAAAATAAAAAGCAAAGGTCCTAGAATTGTTCCTTGCGGAATGCCACAAGTGAGAATTTGACTATTTGAGAGC